CTATAGCCTTGTAGTATAGTTTGAAGTCTGGTAAATTGATACCTCCCATTTTGTTTTTATTGCCTAGGATTGCTTTTGCTATACGGAGTCTTCTCTGGTTCCATACAAAGCGTAATATTATTTTTTCTATATCTGTGAAAAATGCTATTGGTATTTTAATAGGGATTGCATTGAATCTGTATATCACTAGGGGTAGCATAGACATTTTAACAATGTTGACTCTGCCGACCCACGAGCATGGTATGGTTAGTTCTATCTCCTCTCATAATGAAAGTGTTGTGGATGTTCTTAATATAATTTAAATTTACAGCTTCTAAATGTCAGCCTTATTTAGGGGTCCAGGTAGAGGCTTCAGTGAGTCCATGGTGTAATTAGGATCATGTGTCCCGATTATTTTTTTGGCAAAGGTGAGTGTCCTCTTGTAAAGAAGGCTGAGTGGCTCTGATCCTTCAGAGTTGCTGTAACCAACATAATTTGCTAGCCAACCCCTTAACATAAAAAGCAAAAAACAAAAAACAACAACTTAAAACCTACCTCTTTCCAGCACGAAGCAGGTCAAATCCTTCATTTATTTTTTCAAAAGGCAAAACATTGGTTATTAATGCATCCAATGAAAACTTCTTAGCCATATAATCAGCCACAAGTTTGGGAACAGACTCTTTACTCTTAAAGCCTGTAAAGAAGACAATATCATTGTTAGATTCAGCCAAGGGTAAGGAGGAGAATTGGAGAGAAGACTTTCCAAATAAGATTAAGATGAAAGTTTCTAGAAAGTGCTGCATTCCTGAGACTGCTATTACTGAGGTTACTGAGAGACAGAGTGCTTTGACAGATATCCTTTTGCAGTGCTTTGACTTTTTCAAAAAACTTCCAAGATAAACAAGGATCCTTAGTTATTAGATGGCTCATAGAGAAATTATAGTGCAGATGATTATGCCCAAAGTGAAGAAGCAAATTTAGCAGGTGTCTAAATTTGGACAATGAGTGTAGACATGAATTATAGATTAATGTGTCCCACAGACTTTCTGTGTCCTATTAGAACTTTGGTGTCTTATGCCATCACTAGTATAAAAGGGGTCCTAGTTAGTTTATGGGGACACTAGAAAATTCTGTCTTGGGACCTTCTGTCTTCCTTCATTCCACATCTAGTTGATTTGGAGCCTACAGATGCAATAGGAGTTTTGATTAAGTTTTGACCACGTTTCTTTCCAAAACCTCGCCTTGTCACTTGTAAAAGGGGAGAGATTCTGAGGTTAATGACAATTTGGCCTTTAAGCGTTAAGTACATACCTCCAAAAACACCTCCTTTCCAGGTGCGTCCAGACAGTAGCAGTATAGGGTTCATCGAGAGGGTTTGAGAACCTGGAGGTACCCCTACAACGACGCTTGTGCCACATGCCTCATGGCAGCATAACAGGGCAGCCATCTGGAATAAAATCAACACTTAGTGTCCTTAAAGTGAACTCTCTGATAGTCTCTACTTGTGATGCACAGTATGATGTCATATTGATTTAGCTAGATTGTGAGTGTG